TACAACGTGTTTGTGTCTGTGTTACAACGTGTGTGTGTGTGTGTTACAACGTGTGTGTGTGTTACAGCGTGTTTGTGTCTGTGTTACAACGTGTGTGTGTGTGTGTGTTACAACGTGTGTGTGTTACAACGTGTTTGTGTCTGTGTTACAACGTGTGTGTGTGTGTTACAACGTGTGTGTGTGTTACAACGTGTTTGTGTCTGTGTTACAACGTGTGTGTGTGTGTTACAACGTGTGTGTGTGTTACAACGTGTTTGTGTCTGTGTTACAACGTGTGTGTGTCTGTGTTACAACGTGTGTGTGTGTTTCATGTCATTTCTGTGAAGATGTACACTATTTTCGGTTTTCATACCTCCTTAATCATTGGCACTTTCTTTAATGGATGGATAATATATACTAGTATTTATTTATAGTTATTCCCATTTCATGAAAAGCAAAATTTTGTTTATAAATAAGCTCTCAACTCAAGTTCTCCAAAATGTTATTGTCGATATTCAGAGGATTTATTTGATATGATACAATATATTTTGATTGCATATGTGAATATAATAAACGGGAACTCATTTTTGATGACAGGAATGGAAATATAATACATTTTATTAAAATTGAATTTAAAAAAAAAAATCGTTTATGAAGTCATGAATGTTTATATGGCACCTGCTTCAGAGGAGAGATTTCATGGAAGTATGTTTGAAATATATGAACTGGCGAGCTAAACCAGTATCATCATGTTTGATGGTGGCTACAAACGAAACAAAGAAGGAATGCTATTTGATGGTGATGTATTTGATGCGGGTATACGAAATTACATCCATTTGTGTAAAGTAGGATTCGAGATTAAGTGAGTGAGTGAGTATGGTTTTACGCCGCTTTTAGCAATATTCCAACAATATCACGGCGGGGGACACCAGAAATGGGCCTCACACATCGAGATTAAGGGGTGAGCAATGAGGATTAGAGTAAAAAAATAGTTGGTAATTGGGATTCAGTGGAGGATTGGGTTGGCATCCTCATCAATGCGTATCTCACTACAGGTGACGTCCGCATGACGTCTCAAGGAACATGGGGGCGGCGGGGTAGCCTAGTGGTTAACCTTCTTGGTGCCACGGGACCATATTTGTATATATGTTCCTCTTCAACTATGAATTGTGTTGTCAAAATATAAACATCATCACCCTAATCGTCTCAGCTTTAACATCGTGTATCTCATATTTTAAACAGTGCTACAGATTGCGAAATATAGTGAGATTAGTAAAGTGGTTATCGCTCTTCTCGACCTTTTTCTACCATGTTGAATGACGGCGATTTTTTTATTATGCACCCATGTCACATACACGTAACTATTATAATATCAGACAGTCAATTTGAACAGGAACTTGATCAGACGGGTCAGAAATATTTACTTTTCTCCACTGCACAGTTATTGGCGTATGATTTATAACGTTTAGTCCGCAACGGAAGTGTTTTGTTCAAGTATTGCATATGTTTATTGACCGTGTGTCATGGCGACTTAGCACGGCGTGAGAGGAGAAACGGCAGCGCAGTTTGTCTTTCTGTTTATGATGCTGATTTACAGAAAATATTGAAATATAAAATATGGAAAGATAGATATGATCGTTTATATAAAGGTGGTATAGTATATATTTATGGGCAGGAAGTTTATGATCAAAACGTGATCGACAAAAGTATCGACAGGGCACGTTTGCATCACAACTGTGCCGCGATTTCTTGTCTACCAGTTGTCTTTCATGCTAGCCCGTTTCTACAAATAACTGCTGCTTTTTTCATATGAATTGACTAAGAGTCATGTGTGATTGCCCAATCTACCTGACCCTGTGAATGAATTGCCCTTACCGTTTGACATTTTGTCGCAAAAGGAGTTCTCAAAAGTGTGTCCATGACATCCAACGTGAGTCGACGCCATATTGTAAACAAATTGTGTCAAGGGCGGTTTGACATGTGGTAGCTCTGCCCCCGTTTCTGTCGATGGCACACGCGATACAAACATAATACAACTGTTGAAAACATCAACATAACGTCTAAAATGATGACAGCAATACCTATTTGCATTTGGGTTAGACGCTTCTGGATACGATGTGCTGTAAAGTTAGATTTCGACTTGCCTTTCCTTTCATTGAAACTGTGATAATGGCGCCATGATGGTTTGCCGAAACTAGTACTTTCCGTGAGTCTAATGTACATGGTACATGCTGTGATTGTACAAGATATTTGATAACCAATTGTGTATGTATATATATCATCAAATACACATTACAAATATCAGAAAATTGAATATATTATCATAACACGACAGTTCGTATTTCCAACATTCTGACATGGATATTAGATGTAATTAATATTAGATTTACAAATTATTGATATAGACTGTACTCTCGATTAACGTATGATACTCTATTGCGAGTCTTCAACTCTTATTTGATATGCTGTCTGAAATGTCAGCAATGAGTAAACGCTTTATATTTTTTCGTTCAATGACGTAACAATCTGCAATTTTATTTGGTTAGGCGGTCGGTGATTTCCCCATGCTGTGAATTTGTCGTCTGGACAGGTGCGCGTGATTTGACCTTGCTTGTTGTGACGTAAATGACGTTTTGTGTGTCTTACCGGTTTCACCTATTGTATGCGCAGCTAGCTTTGCGCGTTTACAGACAACTGTAGACATGATTCGAGTTTAAGATATTCGTACCGTCGAAGATTTCAATCTTAGCTAAGATCGCGATCTTAAATCAAAGCCGTCTTACAATCGCGCTAAGATCATCAAGTGGATGAGGACAATTGTATGGTCATTGTAAAGTTTATTGCAGCCGCCTAAGATAGATTGTAACTAAGATTGTTCTGTGCAAGTGGGCCCAGATCTGACGATCCAGATGATCCCTCAAATTCTGAATGGGGTTTAAATCTGATGAGCGAGCTGGTCATGGAAGAACGGCGACCCTTTACGTCGCTGTGACGAACATGTTCCGATCGTCGCGTGGCGTCGTCACGCCTGGTCTGCCTGACCTGATCCTGTCCTGTGCACTGCCAGTCTGTCACGTTCAAACAGTCTGACGATGGCTGCAGGTGTACAGTTGAAGTTTTTCGCAATCTGGGTTTGGCTGGCTCCTATTGGTTTCATCCACACCGCCGCCACTCGCTGTCTTATGCATTTAAACGCGGCATAGCTTTTGTGATTATTTCATTACCTGTGATATATTGCTCTGTATACTATTCCTGCATGTGTAGTTGTGCACATGGTCACAACATGACCATAATTATGCAGTGTTTGGCGACTGTTTTCAGCCTAGTAACTTTTGATAACGTTTGTATTTTGGGTCGAATACAATTTTTGAATGTATATATCTTTTACATACCCCCAGTCTTGATGTACATGGCTTCAATGTTTTGATCAGGGGGCACGGGTGGCCCAGTCGTCTAAGGCGCCGCGATTCGCTGTGCAGAGTTGCGTCCCTTGGGCACGCCAGAAACCTATGATTGTGGGTTCGAATCCCGGTTCGCCCCGATTATGGTTCTAGGTTTGTCAGCACCATACCCGTGCTCGTGGGTTTCACCGAAGTGGTAAACGTGTGAGACCTGCATCACTTCGGGCTTTCCTCCTACATTAAGCTGACACGCCGCGATATAACTGGAATACTGTTAAAAGCGGCGTTAAACCAAACTCAGTCACTTAGTCAGTCAATGTTTTGATCGTACTCGTGACTGAACTCATGCGAATCAAATTTTATGTTAGATTCGCAACGCGCTATCATATTACTGCAATGCGTGTAAACATGTTTATATTCTGATATATTTGTAATCCAGTGTCATGTGAACCCACGATGTGAATAATAACGACACATAAGACTGATGAGTGAATTTTTTGTCCAGCAAGGACGATAGCTCTATCCATTTTGACATTGAATTTGTAAATGTGAATATATCATCACAGTGCAAAGGTTGAAATACGAAATACTCTCACGGCGAATTCTAAAAAAGATTCAAATGAATCTACTACAGGCAATTATGAAACCAAGATGAAATGTTAATATATTATCGTATCTATAACACGAAATCGTGACACAATTATTTCAATAGGAGGTGAGGTGAAATGTGGTTTAACGTCGCGTCCAAGATTATTGCACTTATATAGCGACGTGCATGTACGTGTGTGTGTTTGTGTGGCTGCTTGTACTAGTCCGGACTGATGCCGATTTTTAATGCTAGCTCACTGAGATACCATGCCGCAGTTTAACATGAATACCCAACTCAGACACAGTATTCTGACACCGAGCCGACCAGTCCTTGTTTTAGCCCCTCAAAGTCGAGCGCCAGACAGGGTAACAACAAGTACCATCTTTTAACGTCTTTTGGTATGACGCGGTCGGGGATCGAACCCCGGACCTTCCGCTCTCCGGGCGGACGCTCTACCACTAGACCACGGAGACGGTCGTATTTCAATAGGAACACGACATCAGAATATTTTGTCAGTGACAGCAATCTGAACTGTTGCACACTGACGATGAATGTACGATAGTTTCAGGGCGTCCAAATATACACTGTTTGTACTTTAACCTTGATAAAGGACAGACGAAGTGCTGTGGCTGCTTTCAGAGACAGCAACGTGACCCTAATGACGCCGTTGTACCTTAATGATTCACTGACGTTTCAGTGCATCGCGATAAGTTCAGTTCTTGAGATTATAGGTATACATAGGTATAACAGTATCTGTTGATTACTGTTATTTGATATGAAACCGAAAAATACAAGTTTACTAAACACATGGTTCCTACCTTTGGTGGGATATTACAGCTTTTGAGGAAAATCCTTTGCAGCCTTATCATCCATATTCCTCACCACCAACTCAGTATACCAACGAAAAACAAATAAAACCTTTATCAATTGTAAGCCGCGAATAGCTAGCTGCAATATTGCCGCTGTGGGTTTTAGCAGTGTTTACTGACTCACTATCAATTGTTTTTGTTTTTGTTTTGTTTTTATAACAGGGCAGTTGCTATCTCCTTGGGGCGTGTTACTGTATCACCATGTGTGGGATCTGGGCCGTGTTCGGTAGTGATGTACATGTCTCCGTGCAGTGTAAAGCTGCCCACAAGGTCGCACATCGTGGACCAGACGCCTTCAGGGTAGAAAACATCAAGCATTTCAAGAACTGTTGTCTCGGCTTCCACCGATTGGCTATCGTTGATGACGTCAGAGGGATGCAGCCAATGAGATTGTACACCCATCCTCACATATGGCTGATATACAACGGGGAGATCTACAACTATAAATCAGTACGTCGGTATATCAATAATTATCTGTTACATGTTAGTTTCCAAATTGAAACGCGAAGAAATATATAAACACTGGTTGAGAAATCGGTACCATATAACTAAATTGTGAAATGATTGAATAATCTCCAAAGATCAATGAACAATTAACAAATTATATTGACACACGGCGGATTTGGCTTTCAACCGTAAATGCCAATGCAGTGGGTCAAATATATGGCAAGTGAGTAAGTTTGGTTTAACGCCGCTTTTAACAGTATTCCAGTTACACCACGGCGTGTCAGCTTAATGCGGGAGGAAAGCCCGAAGTGATGCAGATCTCACACGTTTACCACTTCGGTGAAACCCATGAGCACGGGTATGGTGCTGACAAACCTAGAAACATAATTGGGGCGAACCGGAATTCGAACCCACAATCATAGGTTTCTGGCGTGCCCAAGGGACGCAACTCTGCACAGCGAATCGCGGAGCCTTAGACGACTGGGCTACCCGTGCCCCCGGCAGCCGCAATAAATAATAGGCCCTATTACACACATCAGTGCACTCACGTATGTCCAGTATTGTCACAGAATGTCACCACACAAAGTTGGTGTTTTCCGACCCGAACACAGTCGACACTGGGTATGTAGACAAGACGCAAATCAGGTCGTAAAAAGGAGGGCATCGAATAGCCCTCGTCTCGCTCTTACAAAGGTACAGTCAGCATTCTGGAAACTGCTACCCAAAAGCACGTATAGTCAGTTCCGGAAGTTGAGAACTGTTATAAGCCTGTAAGCAAGCTCCTCACAACGTAGTCCTCTGTACCGGGAGGGTTACATTGGTTGCAAGCGCTGGGATGGAGTTTGGACTCCGCAAAGTTCAGGTCACTGCCATTGTTCAATATTGTACGACCGCTTCAATCAGTGAGCTGCCATTAACAATCGAAGCTATTGCTACAAAACAATAAAAACACTGTTATGTCCGCTTTCTGCCATATCCCTAATGGGGGAATCGAGCCCAGATCATCGGGGTGCAGATCGAATGCTTTAACCTCTAGGCTACCCCCGTTATGTCCTAGTAGGTCCTGGGTATACATGCAGCACGCCATGATCTGGTCATGGCAAATATGTTATTCTAGTCAACGATACATGATATTTAACACAGAGTTTGTTTTTTTATAAAGTACAGCTAAACTTCTTCAGTGGCAGATGGATTAGCGATGTCATTTGATTGTGGCGGTAAGATAAATAGTGACGTCACATTGGGCTGCAAAGAATTGTGAATTGTGTGCAAAGATTCACAGAAGCAATATCTCTCCGTTGAAGTCAGTTTGGGGTGAAAATGCATGTTTATTCCTACAGGTTGCGAAAGAACATGGATTCCATCTGACCACAGACTGCGATGGAGAACCAATCATTCATCTGTATGCCAAATATGGTATTGATTTCCCCGCCCACCTGGATGGTGTGTTCGCCTTCTGTCTCCTCGACACGGCTAACAGGAAGGTCTTCATTGGTCGGGACACGTTTGGAGTCCGCCCGTGCTTCAAGCTTGTCACAGACAAAGGCTTCCTGGCTGTGTGCTCAGAGGCAAAAGGTCAGATGTTAAACTATCTTACATATGCTTAAGGTTATTTAAGTAACATTAAATAGTAAAGTAAAGTAAATACAAATTAAAAGACTCACCAGTTGTCATATTACATAGTGTTAAACGGATACACTATTGGTAGTTAGACACAAAATTTCAGATACTGTGCAATAAAATGGACCATGCTGAATAATAAGGATAACGTACATTTTCAGAATGATCCTAACTTTAAGTTCTGTGTAAAGCAAGTTGACAATGATTGGTTCACCACCAATTATATTACACACACATGCTGATTATAAATAGGCTTGAAGTTGGACGAATACACTCCTAAGAGTTTCAAAGATCCAGTGTTGGTGGGTTTAACTTCTATATTCAGCTCGATTATGATTCGAAATTGGGATTGCCTTCCACGGTCTGACAACCCATGATAAATAATAACTGAAATAATGTAAAACAGTAATAACTCACTCACTCACTCACTCCGCATACAGGTTTGTTTGGTTTGAGTCACAGCCTAACTGACGAGGCTGCTGACATCGTGCCCGTCGCACCCGGTACAGTGGAACAGTACGACCTCGTCAACAACGGACGAGCCACGTTCCGGGAGATGAAACAGTTCCATTCTATTGGCGACATGCCCCTGTATAAAACACCTGTAGACTCCGACTCACTAGGTAAGGGGTACTTTGTGTTTCAGTTGTGTGCATTGTTTGAACCAAAGTCATGTAAATGTATACTTTGTGTTGTCTACAAAACGATTCTACGACTGTTTTGAAATGGTGTTCTTCCATTTAGACTACAGAAACGAATACCAATCTTATTAACTTCTGAAAATATATATTAAAATATGAAAGAATAATGAAGGACATGTCATCGATTATGTATGTCATGGGTCATGAAAGAAAATATTTAAAAATTTAAAAATTCATGAAGATGCATGTTTTCTTTTTACCACAATTTGCGGTATTTTTTTGAGAGGTATGAAGTTATCTTGCTCCAGTTGTCATCAAACAAAATGATTGAACAATCCGAGAATCTGCGGTGATATCTTCTCAGAATCCGATAATTGCAAACCTACCGGGCCTTTATCAAATTGACAGATATTATGACATAACTCTTTTGAATATGAGTTTAGTGGTAGTTGATTAATCATTAAGCATAGTGAAGCAATTATTGTTGTAACACAGAATTTTACCTTAAAGTTTTTATTCCAACAAATGGTACGGTATCAAGGTATATTAACCCCACCACCCCAGCACCACACACACACACACACACACACACACACACACACACACACACACACGGGTGACATTAACTACCCTGCATTTTCGAGGATGAGCTGCAGCTGCCTGCTGATGTCAACTTCATACTCAAATGATAGGGGGCACGGGTGGCCAAGTCGTCTAAGGCGCCGCGATTCGCTGTGCAGAGTTGCGTCCCTTGGGCACGCCAGAAACCTATGATTGTGGGTTCGAATCCCGGTTCGCCCCGATTATGTTTCTAGGTTTGTCAGCACCATACCCGTGCTTGTGGGTCTCACCGAAGTGGTAAACGTCTGAGACCTGCATCACTTCGGGCTTTCATCCCACATTGAGCTGACACGCCGTGATATAACTGGAATACTGTTGGAAGCAGCGTAAAACCCAACTCACTCACTCACTCAAATGATAAACAAACAGAGTCACCAATAATGCTCAGTGACGTCTCACATTTCAGGCAAGATTGAAAGAGTTATCTAACTTGTTTGTTGAGGGCGTGGCCAACTCTGGCGGCGGATTGATTTGATGAAAAACAAGAACAAGAAAAACATATTCGAGGGAATACTTTTATTGTGGAACTGAGAGGAGCTTTTCTCAAGTTCTTATGAAAGTGCTGTGAACGAGGTATTTTGGATGACCAATATAGAAATCTGTTAGTCCGATTTGCGATACAACAGCTGGTCATTGCCATCACGAGGACAGACCAATGCAATTGGGATACTATGACATAAAATGAACCAAGTCATCGAACCTCACCACCTGATTCATTTATCCGCCACGTAAAACATAGGTTGCTGGGAACGTATATGCTTGCCAGGAATCCAATGGCATAGGAACTGGTAAAAGCTTCAAACAGTGGAAGAGAATAATGATACAACAAGACATTTTACATATTGTCCTCTATTGCAAATGGTATCTATTTTTCTACAGGAAGTGATGTGGCAGAGAACATCCGGGTACTGTTAGAGACGGCTGTCAAGAAACGACTAATGGCCGACAGAAGGATTGGTTGTCTTTTGTCAGGTGAGTTTGACTATGATTGCAACATGTGAGTCCAAGAGTATTATTACCTTGCTATAAGGGCTGTCATTGTTTTCCAGGCAGTGTTCCCCCTAATAACACATTAAATGATTCTGCTACACTGTGAGGCAGGTCATTGAACTTTCAGGGACACGATTAATTAATAACAGTAAAAAGGGGATTATCCAACCACTACCATGTAAATCTTTTAAACTACAGTAAGGTTGGCATTTGCTGGATAGTTGTATACACAATAAGCTATCTAATTGTACCATTCTCAAGGGGGTCTGGACTCGAGTCTGGTAACAGCGTTGATGGTTAAGAATGCCAAGTTACAGAAATTGTCCTACCCCATCCAGACCTTCTCTATTGGCATGGAGGGGAGTACAGATATCATGGCAGCCAGGAAGGTGAGTCTTGAATCATTACATTAACCAATACAGACCTTTTCTATTGGCATGGAGGAGAGTACAGATATCATGGCAGCCAGGAAGGTGAGTCTTGAAGCATTACATTACCCCATCCAGACCTTCTCTATTGGCATGGAGGGGAGTACAGATGTCATGGCAGCCATGAAGGTGAGTCTTGGAGCATTACATTAACCAATACAGACCTTTTCTATTGGCATGGAGGAGAGTACAGATATCATGGCAGCCAGGAAGGTGAGTCTTGAAGCATTACATTACCCCATCCAGACCTTCTCTATTGGCATGGAGGGGAGTACAGATCTCATGGCAACCAGGAAGGTGAGTCTTGCGGCATCACATATTGGCATGGAGGGGAGTATAATGACATCGAGGAAGGTGGCCCTTGCAAAATTGCAATACTCTACACAGAAAAGTACTAATGATGTTTACATGTCATCACAATATTACCGACTGGGGTGAAAAAATTAAATGCAGAGGCAGCTTCAAGACAATGGAAAACTAAACACAGTTCATACAGTTAATGGCATACATCAAGTTGTACCTATTAGCTGTGCCGTGTGAATGATCGCAAATGAACTAGACTTACGTTAAACATTACTGTTTCCAGAGTTGATACTATTGATAAAATATTTGAGCTTTCACCTTCTCGTTATTTGTTTTGATGCAGGTTGCGAAACATTTGGACACTGAACATCACGAAATTAGCTTCACACCCCCAGAAGCCTGCAGTGTTATAGATGAAGTAATTCGTCACATCGAGACATTTGACATTACAACCATCAGGTCTTCAATATGTATGTATGGCTACTGGCAAATACAAAACTGGCTGAACTTTAGCATACAAATGTAATTCTGGAAAATTTACTAGCCTGGCTTGGTACAACCTACCTTAACATATAAAGCTCGTCAATAAGAAATTCACCTGTGAAGATCCGGGGTAGAATAGGTTTTCAGCAACCCATACTTGCCGTAAAAGGCGACTATGCTTGTCATAAGAGGCGACGAACGGGATCGGGTGGTCAGGCTCGCTGACTTGCTTGATGCATGTCATCATATCCCAATTTTGTGGATCGATGCTCATGATGTCAATCACTGGATTGTCTTGTCCAGACTCGATTATTTACAGATCGGCGTCATATAGCTGGAATATTGCTGAGTGCGGCGTTTCAAACAAACAATAAGAAATTAACAATAGAACCAGAAATGTACTAGATTGTATGAACGATGTCATGTGTCAGGTCTTATTTTCCAGGTTTACACCTTGTCAGCAAGTACATCAAACAGAACACAGACACCGTGGTCATCCTGTCCGGGGAGGGGTCTGACGAGCTAACCCAGGGGTACATCTACTTCAATAAAGCTCCATCAGCTGAGGCCGCGGACCAGGAGAGTCGGAGACTCCTGAAAGACATCCACATGTACGACGTGCTGAGAGGGGACAGGGCCACGGCAGCTTGGGGGTAAGGCAACTCATCATCTGGGGCGGTCACCAACCATTTGTAGATAATATCCACAGGAATTGGTTGTACGGGAGACTTCATCATCTTCAGGGTGCGTCCAGGGAGCTCAGTATCAGGGGATCTGCTGAACGTTGTAAGGCGTCGACTGTCACCAGTAGTTGGACATTTCCGATAAACCATCGGCGAGAAACGAGCCCCACAAGTCTTACCGTGACGTGAGATTACTCTGAAATTAAAAGCACAAATCACATTCAGCGTGAAGCATGCCACAGCTCAGAGAAAATTTTCATCATTGGACATCTCCAATAACTTCATTGAATTTCGTAAATCATATACATTAAATGACAATCAGTAAATGTTACTAATGGATAATCCAGTATAGGGTGTTAAGTCATTTGAGAAAGTAAATACTTTTAAAATATCTAATGAGTCTTTCATTACCAAGAGTTTACCTACTTACGAAAGACTATTGAGGCAATAACGAATCTTTTTTTTCGAAATAACGAATTTATTTTCATAATAAAGAATCTTTTTTCCGTTATAATGTAATTATTTCCGTAATAACGAATCTTTTTTCCGGTCTTTTCGTGTCTTTTCCATATTTCAATTTTGACCCTAATAGGCTTTCGTACCTACTGCCTATTTCTGAAAGTTCCAAGATTAATTCCTTTCCTGTAGACTGGAGATCCGGGTCCCTTTCCTTGACCATCAGTTCACCAGCTACTACCTGTCCCTCCCCGCTGAGGACCGCGTCCCTCAGAAGGGGGTTGAGAAGTACCTCCTCCGGTCAGCCTTTGATGGGATGAACCTCCTGCCCAAGGACATCTTGTGGAGGCCCAAGGAAGCCTTCAGTGATGGAGTGACAGCTGTCAAAGATCCTTTGTTTGAGATCATTCAAGACTTCTGTGATAAGCAGGTGAGCAAGGACTTATAACATGATTCATAACCCGAAATATCGCTATTTCCGTGAATCCCACAAGGGTCTTCATTATAATGATGTTATAAGAGGGTATGAATATAGGTATGCATGTATGCACATGCAGAAAAGTTAAGCGCCAACATATTCATAGTCTCTTGATTTCACGTGTGGGAATCAGAAATACGAAATATGATGATGTATGACTGAATTAGGCTTCCATAGTTTCAGGAACCCAAATTTGTCCAGATACCACAAGGAAAGTGTGCTTTACGTGTTGCTGCAGTTCCCCTACCCTATAAATAGTGGTTGCATTTTGCTCCTGTGTGAGATTCCCCTTCAAATAGAGGTTGAAAATCAGCCATGGTGAGGAGAAAGTTACGAACGCTGAAAGATGGCAAGTGATAGGCATGAAAAATGCTGGCATGTCATGCAGGGCCATTGCAAAACAAATGGGTCGTCATCACAGTGTTATCACTCGTTTGATTGTCAAACATGGCCAAACCAATGATGTCAATGACAGGCATAGGTCTGGTAGGCCAAGAAAGACCTCTAACAGAGAGGATAGACGTCTTTTCAGGATAGTCAGACGAAATCCATTTGCCACTTCAACAGATTTAAGACTGCAGTGGATTACCCATCAGAGACTCTCGACGATGACCGAAAGGCGTCGCCTCAGAGCCGCTGGTTATAATGCCAGAAGACCAGTAAAACGTCCTCAATCAACTGAGAGGCACATGCGGAATCGTCTGATATGGTGTCGTGGCCGTAGTCGATGGAACTTGGCCAACTGGAGAAGGATCCATTGGTCTGACGAGTGTCGAATGCTGCTACGATCTGTTGATGGTCGAATACATGTTTGGAGGCAACGTAACACTCGTTTTGCACCAAGGAACATCCAGAAGACCTTAGCATGTGGTGGGGGATCTGTCATGATATGGGGTTGTGTTTCCTTCGGCTGCAAACTTTTCGCTGGGGACAATTCGTGGAAACCTGAATGGCCAACAATACCAAGATGCCGTTCGGTGGTAGTCCCTCATTTTGACAACCATCCTCTTCAGACAAGACCTGTTTACATGGACAACAATGCTAGACCACACAGATCTCGGGCAGTTTTGGCTTATTTGCGTCAAGAAGCTATCACCACTCTTCCTTGGCCGGCCTGTCGTCCGGATCTTAATCCGATTGAGCATCTCTGGGACATTCTTGGGCCGGAAAATCAGACATCGTGATCCCCCAGTTCAAAATCTCGCTGGACTTGAAGCCGCACTTCATGAAGAATGGATCCGTTTGCCTCAGAGAAGCATTCAACGACTTGTAATGAGTATGAGGCGTAGGGTTAAAGCTGTGGTCAATGTCCGTGGATCATACACACGTTACTGGCGTTTCTGTCTTGCAATAGACTCTGCACTCCCTAGGGTGTCTATGTGACATCTGATATGGTCTGCTGACATCATGACAGTTACATGACAAACAAAGTTTTTCAATGTTTTCTAATCCTTCATTTCTGGTCTTCGGTAAAATTCCTTTCTGCTCATATTCTTTTGGAACACAAGATAAACTTGCTTTGGGACAACTTTTGCATCACATGAGGTTTACATATACGGCTAATAACAATCGTACATCTCGTTATAATAGTCACCACTTGATGACATGCACTAACCAATTCAGCGAACCTGACCACCCGATCCCGTTAGTCGCCTCTTACGACGAGCATAGTCGACTTTTACGGCAAGCATCGGACGCCGAAGACCTATTCTACCCCGGATCTTCACGGGTCTCAATCAAACGAATTTTTAACTCACCAGTGAGGTGAGCGTATGTCATGACCTGGTTGTCCGGCGTCCAACTGAACCATTGAAGCTGAAACTTGCTTGTTCCCACCAATGTTGACATCTGAATGTCATGAAGAGGTTTGAGTCAAATATTTAAACAATATCTTATTATGGCTATTTCCACCCCAAATGCATGTCCACGTAATACGTGGTTCTTTGTTTGGTACTGTTGAAAATTTCGACCATCCTACTTAATTCTCCCAAAATGAGGTGAGGTGAAGTGAAATGGGGTTTAACGTCGCGTCCAAGATTATTGCACTTATATAGCGACGTGCATGTACGTGTGTGTGTTTGTGTGGCTGCTAGTACTAGTCCGGACTGATGCCGATTTATAGTGCTAGCTCACTGAGATACCATGCCGCAGTTTAACATGAATATCCCACTCAGACACAGTATACTGACTCCGAGCCGACCAGTCCTTGTTTTAGCCCTTTAATGCCGAGCGCCAGACAGGGTAACAACAAGTACCATCTTTAAACGTCTTTTGGTATGACGCGGTCGGGGATCGAACCCCGTACCTTCCGCTCTCCGGGCGGACGCTCTACCACTAGACCACGGGGGCGGTCTTCTCCCAAAATGAAATGGACTTCAGCTTTACACTGTCAACAACTTTCCCTCTATGTCGAGCAATATTCCTGCAGCTCTAACCTATGGTTTCTACAAACACATTTTGAGGTACAATCCAGAATGATTTTTCGACCAGGATTTCAAAGAGCATCACACGATTCCTCTTTGTTGATGAGGGTAATAACATTCAAACCCATAGTAAAGCTTTCAAACAGTTTGATAGGAGACACTGAGTGGAATTTCATGCATCAGTGACAAAAGGATGTCTGATGCAATTCCTTATTTGGACCGAATGTTCCCGTATGTTTTCAATCGAGCATGTTACACAAACGGAATGTATATGTTTTTTGCTCACGTGATTACCTGGTCATGACTCTAGTCACAATTCCAACAAAGGGAGATAACTCTTACCTCCTTATCTTGAAGTATTTCTATTATTCCAGAGTTATCTATTCTTGCCAGGTGTGGGTTTTGGACTTTATTCCTGTTGTATGCACAGTGTTTTGAAGGGCATTCAAACAACCTGTACAGGATAAGGCACTTGGTGTACTTAAGTTAAAATAAGATATTAGATAACTCTTACCTCTCATCTTGAAGTAATTATATTGCTTCCAGAGTAATCAATTCTTGCCAGGTGTGCACTTTATGTGCTTTAGCTAATAAACGTTTGAATTGAGCGACGTGAGTTTTTCTAAACCGTTGTGATGTACCTGGAATATCCTCACCGTCCTAGGCCTTTGATGTGGAGGTCATGATTTCCTTCAATACTTGCTCTACTGAAACTACTGTCAGTTCGAAGTTTCATAAACATTGGCCTCAGAATCTGTGGGAAAAATAGGAACCTGTTTGAATCAATTTCTCGAGAACGAAAATGGTAAATACAGGAGCTCTGAATCACCAAGGAGACGCCATCCTGACCCCAAATCATTTTGGTTCAGTACAAAATATATTGCACCAGCTCAGTTCCATCTAACCATCCAGGCAATGCAATTCCAGAGGTCGTCTCTACTATCCTCATATGAATGAGTGCAAAAAGGAGAATGGATCGACGTGACAATGATTCTTGATTAGTCAGTTTTTGGACCAAGGTCCAGTACATTTATCAGCAAGTCCCAAAGATAAACCAAAGATACTTTTTATTACAACCAAGGAACAACATTCTTTACATTCTTAGAACGTATTTGAGGAAAGTGGACATGGACATTCTCAAAACCTCAAAGGGATTGATTGAATATTTGCAATCTCAGTTCAATGAAGTCATTGGATTTTTCTACTTTGTACTCCATTTACACACACGGCAAACTTAAAGAACGCAATATATGGAATGTTGCATTTCCTCATTGGTATGTGGAATTTGGGGAATTGACATTGGGGCAAGAAATAGGCATTTGTGGAAACGAACTTGTTCTCTCCTTACTATTCTGTTTACCAATCCATATGAGTCTGTTTAATATTTAGATCTATGCAAAAATGCTGTCCACAAGATTGAATTGTGAATTTTCCCTTTATGTTGAGAAATATTCTAGCAAATCCAGCCAATGGTGTCTACATTTCTATACGTTTGAGGTACAATCGGGCATGATCTATTTGAGAGCATCATGTGACTCTTACTCAAAACTGTCCTCAGGCTTTCAACATTCAAGGCCTTGGTAAAACTTTGAAAATATGAACTGTCGACACGTGGAGGACAGTTCCAAATTTGACGCATTAATGACCAAAATGATGTCTGATGCGATTCCCTGTTTTGACTCGTACCATATGTTCCCATGTTATTTCGGGTGTACAACTGACTTATCTTTACGATAGGGGAGTGCCGGTTTGGAGGCCTTCTTCTCTCAATACCGATAACGGGTAAAGGCACCAGCAAGCTTTACTTGTTATAGGTTTGACCTTCGTGTGGATCATGGATGTTCCATCTCACTGAAAAGAGTAGCACTGGCATAGGTGTTGGTCTTCATCAGGTGTGGATCGAGTAAGCTAACATCTCCAAAGTCCATTGACCATGTGTCCAGAATCAGAAAGGACCAAGGCAGAGGGTGGCTGCAACTGTAAACCATGGTCTTCTTTGGGAAAATGCTAAAGATAAATACTTGTGAGACTTGCTTGACATAGTGTAGTTCATGGATAAAGCCGATTGGATGGATTAAGGCTTCACCCTTACCTTTCCATCCGAATGCCAGTTAGTTCTTCTTCTAAGTCGTTAAGCCATGCATATAAACATCCAGGCAGATTGGACGAAATTTGAGATTCTGAGAAGCACTGAAAGAAGAACACGCAACCAGTTTTCTTGCTTAGTGCACACTAAACTGGAGTTGAATAACTGAAGAGAGACAGACAAAACGACAGAGTTCTTTGGCTACTCAGCACAAATTGTGAAGAGAATCGATACCTGTTGATACGCATACATGGGTTGCATGACACTATCCGAGGTAAGGGTTAGGTTCACTAAGTCAAGGTGACAGTGCTGATGAAAATAAAAGGCATACATATACACACAGCTGTGATCGCGAACTCACTGTTTCAGATCAATGATGAGCAGATGCAACAGGCAGCAACCCTTTTCCCATTCAACACACCCAGGACGAAGGAAGCGTTCTACTACAGGCAGGTGTTCGAGAACTACTACCCTACTAAGTCAGGCTGGGTGCCCTATATGTGGATGCCACGCTGGGTGGATGCTACGGACCCTTCAGCCAGAACAGTCAATATCTATGAGCAAATGTGATTATTATGTGTACACGTTTACAACATTCAAGGCCTCGGTAACATTTTTAATGAATTTTAAGGTATAACGCCCTTTCTTTTTCATCACTTTTAAAAAAATGATGAGGATAAGAAGAGTAAAGAACTGACAAAAAATATCAGTTCTGGAAGAAACTATCAGAAATGACTTTCAAAACATAAACGAATAATTATTAACTGATTTATCAATTAATAAAAACAACTTATAAATTAAAAGCGACAAAACAATTTCCATATCCATAAGAAGTCTCGATAAAACAGAGTCGATTGTACGATTTCGACCATATTATGACCAATTGCACTATCAAATAGTGATAAGACCATGTGTTCACGAAAAAGTGAGCGCTTCCTGGCCCACTTGTGGCACCCGTCACAAACACAAACAATAACATGTCAATTGTTCACCTGAAAAAACAACATATGGCACAAGTCAAAAAAAGGGAATTGCCATTTTTGTCACTGGTGCCTCACATTTGGAAATGTGCTCAATACGTCTACCATAACACTTTCTGAAAACTTAACCAAGTCCTTGAATGTTTTAACCCTTTTCAAACAACTGAGTAAGAGTTGTATAACGTTCTCTGAAAATGTAGACACCAAGGACTGGAGCTGCAGGAATATTGTTCGACATAAAGGGAAAGTTGACTATACTGAAGTCATCTCACTTGTCATACAGTCTTGTGGAGAGTGTTTTGTCACTCTGAATCTCTATGCATGGATCAAAATATGAAACAGATGAAGCGGTCTCACTGTTCTCCTTTATCTCTAATTCAGATAAGAACAGGTCTTCAGCAACCAATGCTTGCCGTAAGAGACAACTATGCTTGTCCTAAAAGGCGACTAACGGGATCGGGTGGTCAGACTCACTGACTTAGCTGATGAATGTCATCGTATCCCAAATTCGTAGATCGATGCTCATTATATTAATCACTGGATTGTGTGGTCCAGACTCGATTATTTACAGACCGCCGTCATATAGCTGGAATATTGCTGCAAAACAAACAAATAAACATCTAGTTCGTGTGAGTAAATTAGTGGAAAGGAATTGGCTATTTGATGGCTATTATATATAAATTCAAATTAAAAATAGTACGAAAGGAGAAAAACCAACTAGCTCTCTTGAGAAACCGAAATTACACAAGCAAGCTTTTAAATAGTAGCCTCAATGAATATGGAGACACGGATATAGATGGCAAAACTATTTAAAATATTTCTACAATAATCTGCACAAAAAAAAAAAACACACCTGAGAGAGCCAATGCTGTTGATATGAACAATATCAATACATCAAAACTAAGTGAAGACGACGTAGAAAATCTTGGAAAGAAACTAGGCACTGAGGAAATTAGAAAGGCAGTTCTATCCATGAAGCATAATAAGAGCCTAGGTATTGATGGATAAACGTTTGAATTTTTCAGGTTTTCTGGGAGAGTGTTTGTTCCATGGATTCATAGATTTAAAACGGAAACCTTTAATAGATAATGTATTATCTATAACAATGTATAGAGGAATTATTACTTGTCTTCCCAGAACCATATTAAGACAGGAGATTAATTAACAATTGGAGTCCTCTTACATTGTTAAAATTCCCTTTATCAAATAACAAGTACGTGTTTTGAAAATAGATTAAAAGCAACATTGGATACAATGATATATGACAATAAAACTGGCTTTATTCCTGGAAGATGCATAACTGAAAATATTATAATATTCTATGATATTTTCTTTGAAACTAGAAGATTTAACAAACCAGACATGCCTTTATAAATTAATTTTAAAAAGGTTTTTGACACCGTCTGTGAACAATATATTTAACAAGTAATAGAACATTTGGATTTGGATCAAATATCATTAAATGGATAAAGATTTTAATTCATAATGCATCTGCATCTGTGTACAAAATAGGCATCTTTCATTTTTGTAAGTTAAAGAGGGGATGCAGACAGGGAGACCCGGTCTCTCCCTATCGATTCCGATTTGTAGTCGAATATTAGGTATCAGGGATAATTATAACATTAAGGGCATTACACTAAATAACCTGGAACAAAATTTAGAACAATATTTGGGCGATACCCGGCTCTTTTTATATGTATCTGAAAATAGCCTAAATGCAGCCATGGAAACACTAAATTATTTCTACAAATTGTCTTGTCTTCAAATACATGTGGATCAGACTAAAACAATCTGGAAAGGTAGAAGTACTATAACTTTAGACAATGATTTAAAGTTGGACAGGAACAAAGGCGATTTTGAAACCTTATGCATGAAACTAAATCCTTCTTTAAATTACTTCTGGGTGATCAATACAAGAAAACGAATAGACATAACAAACAGAATACTTGCCATTTGGAGTAGAAGAAATTTAACACTAATAGGGAAAACCACAGTGACAGTTTGGCTGTCTCCACACTAGTGCATATTTCTCTGCACTTCCTAACCTAAACACATTTATACATGAAATCAACACAATGTTTATACTTTTATCTGGAATGACAAAGAGATAAGATTAAAAAAGAACTATAATTCTAGCATACAGTGATGGTGGTCTTAGAATGATTGACATTGAATCTCATATAAATTCTCTTTAAATGTCCACCTTCAAACAACATATTAAAGAGAAATACTTGCAATGAACTTAGTTGATGCTGATATTTGTACATTCTAAAAATGATGTGGAGAATATTTATCACATATTTATCATGAATGTGGACACGTGAAGTAAATGAAATATTTATCAACAGTATCTAACTATTGAACTCTTGTTTGGATTTTGTTTATACAACCATGCAGTTAATCATATTCTGCTCTCAGCAAGAGGGTTCATTTACTTATCATGTATTAATTCCTTTGTCAAAAATAAAGTGCGTTTTCACAGCATGTCGTGTAGGTCTGTGCAGCACAATGTATTATATTTATAAGACCCGTGAAGACCCGGGGTAGAATAGGTCTTCAGCAACCCATGATTGCCGTAACAGGCGACTATGCTTGTCGTGACAGGCGACTAACGGGATCGGGTGGTCAGGCTTGCTGACTTGGTTGATGCATGTCATCGATCCCAATTGCGTGGATTGATGCTCGTGATGTCAATCACTGGATTGTCTGGTCCAGACTCGATTATTTACCTACCGCCGTCATATAGAATATTGCTGAGTGCGGTGTTAAACAAGAAACAAACCAAACCAAAACTTATGACCTAGCAATACTTTCACAAATGGGAAAAGTGAAAGTGAAGTGAAATCTGCAAAGTTTATCTACAACATTATAATCTTATGCCGTTAAGGTCAACACAGTCATGCACATTTCATCGGTTTCAATACCACATATTACATCCCGCTACCTTATAAAATGGGATACGTTGACAGTTACTTGTGTAGTTATTGCTCAAATGATAAAGAAACGATTTTAGACTACTTTTTTGGAAACATCAAAAGGTACGCCCCATCTGGTCCAATATGGAATACTGGCTTCTCAATAAAGTGAAAATATATATTCATATTTCAAAAGAAAACGTTTTACCCGGGTATACTTTACAAAACAATAATCCTGTAAACACCAAAAAAACTTATTTTCGACAAAAGAATTGAACACAAAATGCCAACTATATGTGTTATATGCGTAACTGTTAAATGAAAATGCAACACATAAAATAAAAAGGTAAAATAAAACGAGTACGTACGCTATCAAACACCTTTTGACATTTACGAATCGGTTTTGTGTGTGAAGCGTTACTTTAGTGTAGGCAGCGTTATCGTGTGTGTATGTATGTATGTGTGTGTGTGTTCACTATTGTTGATTTTCACACCTCCTTGTACACTGGCATTTACTGTAACACCTCACACGACTTTTGCCCAAATGTTTGAACAGAGTGTATTGTGTTCAAGGCTTAGTATAGCTGTCATAACGTTTTATGATAGACATGTTGATGACATTTCCAGGACATCTGACCAAAATTAGGTTCCCGTGCTTTTGTCAGGTGAACATTTGCCTTGCCTTTGCATGTGTTTGTGACTGATACCACCGATGTTGCAAACACCTGGTATTTTGAAAGGGTCGCTTTTATTTATCATTATCACAATACACATCACATGATTGTGTGGTCCATGTTTACAGACCGCCGTCATATAGTTGGAATATTACTGAGTGTGGCGTTACAACAAACAAACTCTTCTTTTTTGAAACTTGTGTTGGTATGCTTTCCTACTTCACGGACTCCTGTTCATATCTGACTTTAAACACTATGCCAATGGAATCTGTTTCGGCAGATATTCGAGGTTGATTAATCTCTGAACGTGGACGTTTTGAATTGTTATAGGAAACTCCCTTTCCTAACATTTCGCTGTTTGAAACTTTACCACTTTCCAATCAAATTGCCAAAAAATTAAAAACAAACTAAATCATTGCAAAACATATCGTTCAAACACAAAAATTGCTCTATACACGTACACGGCAAGTTTTTTTATTTTAAAAAATGCGAAAAACTAAAATATACAACGTTGCTCTGGGCAGTCGAAATAAAACGTGTAATAAGGGTATATAAATGATACGAAGGCCCACATTAATAAAAACAACAACAACAGAAATGCCGAACAAGGCGAGCGGGCCTTGGGTATGTTACAGATGGGGGCCACTCATGCTCAAATTGCTAGAACTTTTTGTTGATTAACAGGCAGAACCAGGGTAACTACGCTCAATGAAGACCGGTACTTCCGTATTTTGCAGCTCCGGAATCAATTCATGACAGTGACGTCATCAGCGACATTGCCTTAGGGCATAAAGTTAGTCGCCAGACAGTGGTCGGGGGACTTATGGGTCAAGGTATTGGAGCTTATAGGCCTCACAGAGGACAGTTATTGACAGCGCAGAGATTTAGATGGCCCCAACTGTTGGCAGCGACGTGACTTGCAGAAGGTAGTCTTCACTGATAAAAGCCGGTTCTGTCTGTTTAGAGCTGATTGAAGACAGCGTGTTTACCGCCTAAGGGCGTTCAAGGAGGTCGTGCCGCATGGTGGAAGGGGTATTATGGTGTGGGGAGGAATTTAAGGGCAGGAGAGGAGAAGAGTGAGTGAGTGAGTGAGTTGGGTTTAACGCCGCTTTTAACAGTATTCCAGTTGTATCGCGGCGTGTCAGCTTAATGTGGGAGGAAAGCCCGAAGTGATGCAGGTCTCAGACGTTTACATGTACCACTTCGGTGAAACCCACGAGCACGGGTATAGTGCTGACAAACCTAGAAACATAATCGGGGCGAACCGGGGTCGAACCCACAATCATAAGTTTCTGGCGTAGCCAAGGGACGCAACTCTGCACAGCGAATGGCGGCGCCTTAGACGACTAGGCCACCCGTGCCCCCGAGAGGAGAAGAGAGGATTTGACACCACTTGGCATTGTTAACGGAAATTTGACAGCTCAGCGGTAGATGGATGACATTCTTCGTCCGATTGTTCTACCATTTCAATAACAGCTGCCACGTGGTATCCTTTATCAGCATGACAACGCCAGACCCCATACAGCCCGAAGCGTACATAACTTTCTGGCAGCCAACAACGTCAACGTGCTGCCGTGGCCTGCACGCACCCCAGACAATTCATGGATGGTCGTGTTCGATGGCGACCACATCCTCCAGCAACCGACGAGAACTGATGCAGGCCCCCCAAGAAGACTGGCGACGTATCCCACGTAACATCTTCAGATGGCTGACATTTTCTGTGCCCCGGAGTGTTTTTGTGAGTCTTGTAGGTGGGGCTGGTCATACAAACTGTTAATGTGACGTGTCATTGTACTTGAGCGATTTAAGATGCGTGTGCCCTTTTCCCCATTACGTTAAATGCTTGTTTTTGCAGGTAAATAAAGATG